CATGTAAGTCTACAATAAAATTGGGTGGGAAAGACTTGCATAATGTGAACCAGTTGAGTAATAATAGAAGGAGTAAGTAATTGGGTTAAGAAATAATTGATTAATACAGACGTGAAATAATAGGGGAATACAAAAATAGGATCACGGTGGTGGGTTATTAGTATTAGAACTGAGTTTTCTGGAAGACATGCAATTAAACTGCTCCATGAACTCAACTCATGCCCAGGATTTGTAAAGCATCTAGTGTTATGAGTGCTGCCATGCTGGGCTAGGCGTGGTGAAGAATACCTTACATCCTGGAATAGGAGACAGATGTTTATATAGAAATACAAGGTTCTAATGGTTAAGTGTGGGAAGTAAAATACAAGTGAAGAGTCAATGGGGGGAAAATAAAATTAATGGGGGCAAGAGATGGGAGCATCAGAGCAGGTTTGCACTGAGCTGGTGTGAAACTGTTTATAGGGTGAATTCCCTTTAAGGCACAAACCTTAAAAGAATCATTAGGATTTAGCAGTTACTTATTGACTATAGAGAGGCCGGGTAGGGCAGAGAAATGAATGAGGAAGAAGAGTGAAAAATAAGAAACAGAGACTCATTAGGAGAATAGTGGGAGGCAATTTGGGTGAGGAAATGCATGCCAGTGGTTTTGCACCTTCAAGGAAGTGCAAAAGCAATGTGGTAGGTCAGAGTTCAGGTGAAGGGACAGGACTTACCTTTGAAAAGGGGAAAACCCAGCTGGGCATGGATATCCAGGCAATTAGTCTGCAACACATCCTCAGCAATTCCCATCGTCTTGGGGATATTCGTTTCCATAGTGCTCTATAAACCTAAACTGCCTCAATCTCCCAGTCACCCCCGCCCCCACCTTCTTAAACCCTCCCAGGGGGTCCCAGGGAACAACACAGCAGTCATCAGAGAGATTCTTCTATCCAACCAATTACCCAGTGTCTAAGTAGACATTTGAAACAGCATGGCCATAGCAGAAGTCTTGATCCATAGCCCCACCACTACCACCATCACCACCACCAGCACCATCAAAATCATTCTATCAAGCTTCACATCTAAATAAATGGTACCTTCAGATGTTCAATTGATTAGCCAAAAATCTAGGCTTCATTTGTTCCTTTCTGTCTCTCACTCCTGTACTGATAGGTTAGCTGGCTCAAGATTCATATTATATCCTGAAATTGGCCATGTCTCAGAATTTCTACTGCTACAACCACTGTCCACGTGCCCCTCCTCTCTCACCTACAACACTGTAACAGCCATTCTCCCATGATCCCTAGGTCTGATGCCAGAGGGGCAAGTCCTAAGGGAAACTCATTCAAGCCTAGGGCTCTTGGCTTCATGCAGGACAGAATTTAAGACAGGAGCCAGACAAAAGGTTAAAGTGGAAAGCGGGTTTTATCAAGCAGAGAGGACAAGCAGGAAAAGCCACTCCATAGACAGAGTAGCGGACTCTCCTCACCAGAGAAGGAAGAGACCTCAGCTGTCTCTAGAGGTCGAGCTTATGTCTGTTTGTAGTTTCTATAGAAAAGTGATGGTATGGGAAAATAGAATGGGGAAACAAAAACTATTGGGATTTACTTTAACCTTTACAAGGTGTATTTTGTGGTCGGTTTTCCCTTTATGGTCTGAGTAAAACATAAGGGCTGGGTGAGTAGCTTTAATGAATCTTTGCAGGAATTTTCTTTGTCTGGAGGCTCTTCGTGGTCTTCTTGCATCTCAGAGGCCAGCTGAGTTCTGTCAGGCAGCATGTAGCAAGCCCCTGACTTAACTTTGTTTGACTTCAGTTGATTTGTATAGTTCTCATGCCCCTCTCCTATGTTAGACCTGTTCTCCATCTAGTGGTCAGAGAGATCTTATGAAAGTGTCTGTCAGAATGTCTCACTCGTGGGAGATCTCCCCACTAGCATGAAAGCTAAACTCCTCGTTATCCCTCCAAGTCCAGGGAGCCCGATTCATCAATGGCATTGAACTCCTATGTCACCTCCTCAGAGTCCTCGGCCCAATGGCCCAGCTAAGGCAGCTTTTTAGTCACTGTCTACCATATTACCTTATGCTATCTTCTTAAAAAAAAACCCCATATATATATTATTAATTTCAGAGAGTAAGGGAGAGGGAGAAAGAGATAGAAATGAAGAGAATCATTGATCGGCTGCCTCCTACACACCCCACACTGGAGATCGGGCCCACAACCTGGACATGTGCCTTAACCAGAAATCAAACAGGTGATGTCTTGGGTCAATGTTCAACCACTGAACCATACCCAGCTGGGCTTATTATCTTCTTCATAGCACATATGGTGCCTGGCATATCTCAGATGTTTTCTTTATTAAAAATTGTTATTAAAAATTATATATTTACCCTCACTAGAATAGAAGCTTCATGAGAAAAGGGATTCTCTCAAATTAATGTGTCTCTACCGTCTACACTAACACCTGGCATTGAAGGGGCTGAAAAAAAAATATGCATTTATTACCATCTGTACAGTTCAGTAGCATCAAATATACTCACATTGTTGTGCAACCAGTCTCCAGAAATTCATCTTGCAAAACTGAAATGCCATACTTATTAACCAACTCCCTACTTCCCCTTTCCCCAGCCCCATTCTACTGTCTGTTTCTAAGATTTGACTACTCTAGATACCTCTTATAAGTGGAGTCATATAGTATTTGTCCTTTAGTAATTGGCTTCACTAAGCATAATGTCCTCAAGGTTTATCCATGTTGTAGCATGTGTCAGAATTTCTTTTCTTCTTAAGGCTGAATAATATTCCATTGTGTGCATATACCAGTGGTCAGCAAACCGCGGCTCGCGAGCCACATGTGGCTCTTTGGCCCCTTGAGTGTGGCTCTTCCACAAAATACCATGTGCGGGCGCGCACGTACAGTGCGATTGAAACTTTGTGGCCCATGCGCCAAAGTCGGTTTTCAGCCTGGGCGAGTCTATTTTGAAGAAGCGGCATTAGAAGAAGTGGGGGGTGTCGGTCAGTTGGGCGACAGGAGAGGCGGTGCAGGCGGGCCCCGGAATACACAGCACGGGGGAGGTGCGTGCGATTCATGCACCAGTTGAGTGAGCCAGTCAGTCAGCAGTCTCATTGTGCAGTGGTTAGTGCTAATCGCATCCGCAAATCGCACGCGGGTGACCAAAGTACCTACTCGAAGCATAAAGTTACCTATATTTTTCCAATCAGCTGCAAATCCTACAGGTATTTTTGTCATCAATTTAAGAATTGTAATTATTTTGTGTTGGTGGCTTTATTATTATTTTAGCAAAGGCCAGCTTAGGAGTATCCTAATTAAGTTAATAACAATGTACCTACCTATATAGTTTAAGTTGAAAAAAATTGGGTCTCAAAGAAATTTCAATCGTTGTACTGTTGATATTTGGCTCTGTTGACTAATGAGTTTGCCAACCACTGGTAAATACCACATTTTGTTTATCCATTAATTTATTGATGGACACTTGGATTGTGTGAGTAATGCTGCTATAATTACAGATACAATATTTTTGACTGACTGATAATAGTCTGGAAACTAAGGCTCTTATTTATACCTGTAGATTGTTGACATTAAGCAATTTCCTATTAACATTGGGTTACAATGACCGCAAAGGTACCTTACAGATAGATCTAAAATACAAGATGCCAGCAAATAAAGTTCTTTTGATCTCAATGGTCATTTTAATCTTGTGAGAAGGTGATGGAGCCTCATGGGATTTGGTGCCTTTGGCACAACAGTCAATGTCTTCACCTGCAGTCTCATCAGATCCCCTTCACCTGACTGACTGCTTTCTCATTCTCTGCACATCAACCTCAGGGAAGGTTAAGTGTGATTTGAGCTCCAACATGAAGATGAGGACTTGACCAAGATCTCGTCTGGTTGCCTTCCTCACTCTCTAACCTCATGTATTTGGGGAAGGTAGGTGTCTTAGTAAATCTCTGTATATGTTAATTTTATAAAAAATAGAAAAAACACAAATTGCATTAAGCCAATAGGAATACATTTTCTTTGTAGCAAATATGTATATATAGAAGATTCATGAAGACCTAATATTGGCTGAATTGTGATTAAGCTTGGTACAAAAACCTCCAACAGATGTGTTACTAAAAATAAGATTCACAATACATTGGTGTTTGGCTGAATTAACTCACTCAACCCATTGTTTTGGTTTCATAGCTCAGAGTCATATACAGTATACATTTTGATTTCCATTAGCCTTGAGTTAGATACTATGGCACAAATGTAAACATTATGAACCATACATTGGTTCATAACCAATGTATTAGAATTAAGGCAATAATCCTAAAATAAGTTCACTGAAATACTATTACAATGTCCTCTAGGCTAAAGCTACAAGAAAAATTATACTTTTCAAAACTGGAAAATAAGAAATTTTGTAATTTGAATGACTTTATTTAAGATAAGGGACATACTGGAAAGCCACACCACTGTTAATTTAATGCAAAAGGCGTATCTTTTCATTCTTCATTTCACCAAAATACCAGATTGTGATCATCTGATATAATTGACCTATTAGGTGTTTTCACTTTAGTAGATGGTGTTTGTCATTGCTCTGACACTAGAGAATATTTCCACATGGGCACCAGGGAGTGTTGAAATAAAAATGTGTGTCTAGAGGTCATGATGGTCCAAACAGCCAAGAAATAGATTCTTTTCAGACACTGGTTATTTTAGATAATCCCTCACCTCTTTTGTTGTACATTAATGCAGTTTATAGGACACCCACAGTAATATGCTCTCTGAATAACAGTAATCTCCTTGCCATATAAATATACTGAAAGCAGACATATAATTTAGCTATTCAAAAAGTATATACTTTCTTTTATTAATAATTCTCTGCTACTATAAAATATAATAATAGTCTCTCACACATGGCACTTTTGACACATTCATAAAGTGTTTGATTCTCATTGAAGGAAATATCTGCTTTCCACATTGGTAAAACATATTTATGTATTCCACAAGCGCTGTATCGCATAAAATGGAAATTGGTTTCATTTTCCATTTATATTAAGAGTAATCTTCAAAGTGTCTTGCTAGTTCGCTGTGTTTCATTTTCTCTGTGAATAGTTCATCAAATACTCTCTTCTGCTTTGAAGTAAAGTAGTTTATCCAATCACCCACAGCTCCTGGAAAAAATTGAAAATGTATCAGACAAGAACCAATTTAAATGTATAGTAGTCACAAAAGAAAAATATCAGATTTATAATAAAGTGTGGACAATTTCACCTCCTGGTGATAAGATGATAGGGAAATTATTCTTTTCATTTGCTTATCTGTTGTTTCTAATTTCTTTAGTAATAATTGCATGTCAATTTGTAGAGTTTTAAAAGTTATTTCTTAAAAAAAAAAAGGAAGATTAAAAATACACAAATGTGCCCAGCCAGTGTAGCTCAGTAGCTGAGCATTGACCTATGAACTAGGAGGTCACGGTTCCATTCCTGGTCAGGGCTTGATCCCCAGTGGGGAGGGCCTGCAAGAGACAGCCAACCAATGATTATCTATCATCATTGATGTTTCTATCTCTCTCTTCCTCTTCTTTCTTCTCTGAAATCAATAACAACATATTTTAAAAATACACAAATGTCCTAAGTTTTACGATAGCAGGCAAAAATTATCTCACCTAAACCTAATCAAAACCTAAGGCAGACGGTGGATAGAATGATGCTTCATTTATTTCCTGTCTGTGCACCTCCAGAGCAATAGCTGTGCTGATAACACATCACAGGGGTGGGTAATTGGCCTCATTTTGAGGAAATTTATCTTACAATATTGATAACAGAGAATTGAAATAAGATAAATACAGTTGATCCTTGAACACTGCAAGGATTAGAAGCATCCACCCTCTCCCTAGTCAAAAATCCATGTATAACATTTGGTTCCCCAAAACTTTACTACCGATAGTCTACTGATGAAGCCTTACTCATGATATAAACAATTGATTAACACATATTTTGTATATTATAGACATTATATACTGTATTGTTTCAATAAAGTAAGGTAGAGAAAAAGAAAATGTTATTAAGAAAATCATAAGGAAGAGAAAATACATTTACAGTTCTTATTGAAAAAAAGAATCTGTGTATAAGTGGGCCTGCGCAGTTGAACCCATGTTATTCAAGGGACAACTGTACTTCACGCAGTCCATCGGCCTCTCCTGTTCTTTCAAGTCACCCTCTCAGCCTTGGCACAGCATCAGAACTGCCCTTCTCACATCCGTTAGGCACACTGGCCAGGCCCCACCCCTAGATCTTGCCCACCCTGGTCTATTGTTTTTTCTGGCCCTACACTTCATCCCGGGGTCTAGGTGCACTGGAGCACTGCCTCCCCCCGCCACCCCCCTATTGCTGACAGTCATAAATCATTCTCTATTATATATTTTTGCCAACTAGTTTATAAACTCTTTTGAATTATGGACTGTGATGTATTGTTCATGTGTATTCCTGCATTACTGAATCCAGTGCTGACTATAGAGTAGATGCTCAATAAAACCTCTGGTTTGATTGAATGTCAGACAATGTCACCTACAGCAAAGAAATTTATTTATATTACAACTTAAGAAATGTTTGGTGTTGATTCCTCATCCAAAAGACCGAGTTTAAAAAGAAGTAAAGTAGAACTCTTCTGTTTGAAAAAAAAGAAAGAAAGAAAGAAAAGAAAGTATCAGAGGGAAGATCCCAGAGTCAGGAAATGACATAATGACATTGCTTCTAAAGCACCCCACTGCTACCTTCTTTCTTTTGACCTGACTTTTGTTTGCTTGGTTTCTGATTTATTTTTTCACTCTGATTTTTTTTTTTTACTTTTTTTTTTTTTTAAAAAAAAACCTTTTAAAAATAAAATAGTAGCTATATATGTAGGTTAGAGGAATTACATAGAAGCAAAAGAAGATAACAAGTCAAGGAAATGTACTCAGCTAACATGGCTAAAAAACTGGTTGGCATGCATTCTTCCAGATGTTCTTCTTTGCAAACATATAAATGCATATAAACCACATTTTAAGTCACACAGTTATAACTTAAGTTTCCCCCACTTAAACTTTATCATCTTCCCATATTAGTACTTATGTGCCAACAATGAACGTTAGGGAGAATAGGGTAAGACTGTTTGGATTCAAGTCTTGACTCTACCGCTACTAGTTGCATGTCTTTGGACAAATTATTCAGGTGTTTGGTGTCTCAGTAAAGTGTGAATAATAGAAATACCACTTTCAGAAGTCTGCTGTCAAAATCCAGACAAACCAAGTAGTGTGCCTGGCACATAGCAAAGCACTCAGCATATGCTAGTTATTTTTACTCAATAGCTTTCATGACTCCATAGGAAACCCCTACATGGATGTGACTTAATATGTTTATTTTATTTTTTCCTCTTTTCTTTTTTACTTAATATGTTTAACAGTTTCTGACTAGTGACCTTTTAAGTACATTCGAGGTTTTTATTCTTATAAGCAACATTGCTACCTATTTCCTGTTCATATGCCTTTCCATACCTATAATTCTCCCCCTAGATTTTAGTATGTCAGAGCCCTCAAACTTCTGACATTTATGAAGACTAGCCTTGCTTATCACCTTATCCTGGCCCCTATTCATTTCCTAGAATATCAGCTCTATTTCTGAGTTTAACGTAAAGATGCTGCAGGCACGAATTCTCCTCTGTAAAGTGAGGATTATCTCTCTGTGCCACGGATTCTGAATCAACGACTTCAGTAGTTTCTTTGAAACTCTTACTTTCAGAGGATGGATCCCCCACCCCCGCCCCATCCAGCAAACATCCTTTGTTTAGTTCCTCCAATAGTCCAAATTTACCACTGGTGCTCATGGTGACTAGTATCAGTGAGGACTTTCTACTATCAACCCTCTGTGCTTTGTTAGGTATAAGATAAAGAAACCACTTTTAGATAGAACTTAAATGCATTCCAATGAATGTTATCAGCCACAACTTTGTTGATAGGACTTCACCTGGAAATACCTGCTAGGATCACAGGCATGGCAGGTCAGAGATTAACTCTATTGTCATTAGAGTAAAAGTTCTCAAGTTTGTATGATAAGATGTGTGGATACTGAGAATTAGCTAATCAGATCTCAAAGGGCAGTGATGGAAGATGTCAGCAGCAGCACTGGACTCCAGTAGCCATCAGAACTTTATTTCTCATCATCCACTTTACCATCGTCCCTCCCAGTCTCTTCCTGTTTTTCTCCCCTTTGCTCATTTCACCCTCCTTCATGCATCCTTTTCTAAACTCTTTGTCTTCCCTTTATCTTCTCGCTCCCACTTCTAACTTTTTCTGGACCCTGAGTCTATCTCAAGCTCCCATATCATCTTGCTGTCGTCCTCCACTATCAAACTTCTTAAAAGAGTGCCCCTTATTTGCTGTTCCTTTCTTTATTTCTCATTTCTTCAAACCCCTCAACGTGGCTCCCATTCCCACTCTCAGAATTCACAAATGATAAATGGCCATGTTTGACCCTGTCTTTCTTTTCAATGCTGGCTGATCTCCTTTCTCGGCTTGTCTTGGGCTGTTTCATTCCCATTTATGTCAGGTTCCTGCAGCTTCCCCTTCTGTCCCTCTCTCCACTAGGCCTTCCCACTCACCCTGAACAATTTTACCAAATTCCACAATCTGCTAGTGGCTCCTACACTGACTTCTAAGCTGAATTCCTCTCAACAGGCTCACTGCCAGTGCCCAGATTACCACCATCAATGTTTTGTTCCTGGACTATTACAACAACCTCTTTACTGGACTTTCTGCCCCAGCTTTCAATCTCTTCTAATCAATTTTCCACACATGTCTGACCATATCAGGTCCCTTCTTAAAAGAACAAACAGGCCAGAAAAAGAAAAAGACCACTGAAATCCATCAAAGCTTTTGCTCTATGACCCCCATCCCTTCATCTTCCTCGTTCTGCTTCACACATCATACACCATTTTAGTGCATGCTGGTTCTGAGCTTCTTTTCTTGCTGTTAGCTTTCACTACCCAACCTGCTTCTAGGTTACACATTAGGACTTAGCAGAGATTTATTTCCTTCTCTTTGTGTTTCCATTCAGAAGCACGTCCTTAAATAACAATCCCAGCTCTCTCTCTCCACCCCTTACTTCTGCAGGGTAAGTTATTTGATTGGTGAGTTTGGGAAGAGACACTGTCCACACTCATCTGTTCCTCTCTCCTGAAGGAAACATGTCATGTACTGTCTCTAAGCGACCTGCTCCAGTGTGGGGACAGGACTGCCTTTGATTCACTGTGACTCTTAGCATGTTTATAAAATTCCGGGCAACTTATTAGCAAACACATTGGTCTGAAGATCTGAGACACATTCTTTAAATAACTGTGTCATTTCTATTTGCCACCTGTGTTTTTCTCTCAATTGGGTCCTAATTGGGCATGAACATCTCAAAGTCTGGAAAGAATGCAATTCGAGAATTTCATCACTGATGGATGACACTGTGTAAGCTGTTGTGCAAGCAATGGTGAAATGGGGGCTGAAAAGGTAAAATAGAACTACTTCCAAACAGAAGCCCCAGGCAAAGCACCACCTCCTTTTCTGACTTACCTTTCCTAAATACCAGGTTCTTATTCGATGTGAGGGCACAGATGGTCTTGTTTGGATCACAGTTTTCTTTGGCTGCATTATTTTTCATTTCCTTGAACGATGATTTCCAAGCAATGTGATTGATGTCGCTTTCACTCACATTTATACCGAGGAAAGTCGTTATTTTCTTTATGCTTTTAGAAAGATCCTGAGCAATAAGCAAATACATAAATGTTACTCATCAAAACACGAAATTCATTCCCTCAAACCTGAAAACAGAATTCATTGATTGATATCCTGTATTAGCTGAATTTGACTTAAATTTTGATTGTTGAAATGTTAGGAAAGACTTACTTTCTTCATTTCTTCATAGAATATAAATAGAATGTTTTTATCATTTTTGTGGTCTTCCCAGCTTAAAATGTGATCAAACCAGGATCCATACACAACTAGGAGGAAAGTGAATTGCTGAGTTAATACCAAGCATTATGGCTTTGGGTCCCTGGGGTCTTCCCACTTCTGCAAAGTTGTCAAAGCAAGGCACATACATCTTAGACACCGGAATGAAAAAGTTTTCCTTAGAAGAGCTCAGTCTCACTACTGTTTCAACTAAATACAATATTGTGAAATGAAGCAGGGTAGTGACACCTTTTAATAAAGCTGTGTAGGGTTTTTCCTTATTTTTAATAACTTTTTTTATCATCAGGAAAAGTGACAGCAGAAATACAGATACACATTTTCCTAATAATTGTGTTCTGATAACTGCTCTAGATCTTGGGAGACATAGAGAAACATTGAGAATTTGTCATTTTCTTTCTGTAATGTGACATGCTTTTCATAATTGTAAGTGCTTAGCAGAAAAAGTTATAAACTCCCCCCCCCCCCACACCACCACCCAAAAAATAATTCTATCAGGCATCTTAGTTCAAAGTTGAGAATTACAGACTCAGGGATTTGTAAGTAGTTGATATTGTCTCTTTAATGTTTTGTTAATTTGACAGACTTAAAAATCTCCAGGGCTTCAAAGGAAAATACTATCATGCAAAGTAACCTCTATAGTTGTGATGATTAAAAGCAAACAGCGAGCAACTTGTCAGCACACACACACACACACACAAAATGACTAGTTTGACAATCTAAAGCATAAAACAATAATTTAATATACATCTTTCCAGGAATCTTTATCATGCAAAGATTTGATACTAGCTAGTGCCCCAGTCATAAAAGAACTACTCTACTAGTGATTTCCTGAAGATCTGCTGACTATTGATTCATTTTAATAAAAAACATTTATTAAGCCAGACACTGCTATATACTAGTACAGTTTGAACATTAAAGCTTTGAATAAATAAAAATAAAATTACCTCCAAACTAAGGGCAATTTTTCATGGCTTCGGCTCCCGAGGAAGCAAAGGGCAAGAAAATAACTAGAACAGATTTTTTGAAACAAGGGACTACAGTGCTATCATTAGAGTCAGGAGCCTAGGGCTGTATAATCAGAACTGGTTCTTAGGAGAGCTGTCCAGATACAGTTTTTGGTTATCAGCAATCTCACTGCAATTTCAGTGCCTTACCTAATACTTTGTCTTAGAATTACCCAAATTACTATACCAGTCATAAGGGTTTATCTTCTAAGAATTACCAACATTTTCCCAAGCACAAACACATGTAGGAGGGAAACTGATTTCTCTCTCACACAAATTTAGGAAGTTAACTAGTCCTCTAGTTTGCCAGACTACCTCACAGTCTTAACTGACCTCTCTGACTCCCACCAGCAGCCACAGCCCAGCCCTTGTGGGTAATATCACTGCCTGGAGTTGATAATGTGGAGCCCTCAATAGGGTCTCGGGGAGCCCATGCTTCTATGGCTGAATGCTAGGCAGGGATAGAGATTAGGAGTCACACTGGGTGGGCTGGGCAAGGTGTGTGTGTGTGTGTGTGTGTGTGTGTGCAGTGTGATTGACCTGCCCATTATGGTTATTCAGTAGAAAATGTATTCCAACATATCCAAAATAGATTGAAGAAGAAACCTTTGGATCCTAGCCTGATCATAATTTGAGAGCCAGCTGTTCTATGATTAACTAATTAATTTAGACTCTCCCTTATTCCAAAAGGACTCAAACTAGCCAAAAGAATCTAAAGAAATTGTCTGCCTGGGCCTTTCTCACGAGTGGAGGAAATTACAGTTTGTGTTGATTTTTTTTTTTAATATATTTTATTGATTTTTTACAGAGAGGAAGGGAGAGAGATAGAGAGTTAGAAACATCGATGAGAGAGAAACATCGATCAGCTGCCCCCTGCACTCCTCCCACTGGGGATGTGCCCGCAACCAAGGTACATGCCCTTGACCGGAATCAAACCTGGGACCTTTCAGTCCGCAGGCCGATGCTCTATCCACTGAGCCAAACCGGTTACGGCAGTTTGTGTTGGTTTTTAAATCAGAACCCTCATTGACCAGGTCAATAGCTTTAAAGAAAATATAGTTTCCAAAATTGAGATTTGACATCTTGCTTTTATGGGAAATACTTTTCTCCTTATTCTTCACTTAATTACAAAATTATTCCACCACCTCCTGGCCTTAATTAACATATGCCTAGATGGCCTTTCTTCTGCTGTCCACAAATTACTCCTTCCCCTTCAATGGCCTTGAATACAAGTTGCTCTTTCTCAAACAATTCATGTACCTTAGGACCTGGAGAGCGAGTCAGCAGTCTCTGTTTTCTAAGGACTTCCAGAACTCCTCCCTCCTAGACAATCCAGGCTCCTTTAACATGTCCTTGGAATCTAGCACCCTTTCCATCCTGGTTTCAGCCGGAAATTGACCTGATCTCTCCATTACACTCACTGAAGACTCGGATTTTAGAAGATTATCTTCTGTGGCATCTCAGGTCTTACTACCAACTGTAGCAACTTTATTAGATAGTTGCTGAGGTGCTCTCCTTTGACTACTTTTCTCCCTTTACTTGCTTCCCTTTGTACATCCCCTCAACGATATTCTCATCAATACCTGCATTTCCTAGCCCCCTTATAGTTTATTTTAATCATCCAAGAAACACTCAGTATTGGATCAAAACACTTCACCTCCTTTCCATCTCACCTACGACGGCTGAGTTCTGCTGAAGGAATTCATACCATTCTGTATTGACACCACTGCAGATTCATTTTCCAGTCTCAAGGGCGCCAAGGCTGTCTGGCAAACCAATTTGTCCTGCATTAACACATTCTCCTATTCTTCTGTTGTTTCAAAACTCCCATAAATTTCTGCAAACCCTCTTATATCCAGTTATAATGGCCACCTTAGTGTTTAGTTTCTACAAAGCATTCTGATGATAGATAATTGTGCAGAAAACAAAACTCACTGGGATGAAGTGGCCTAGGAAACATAGAGTTCTAATATAAAATGGGAGAGGGGGTTACAGGGAATAAAGAGCAAATGCTAATACATGTTTCATTGAAATATTAATCTGCCAGGATATCTCCAGGATACAATTTATAGTTATTGTTTCATTTGAAAACCTAAAGTGTATTTGTAAAGTGTGTGAAAGACAAATTAGATGATTAGATAAATGTGTCACTATTTTTATCTTTTTGTTTATTAATTCTCACTTGAGAATATTTTCCATTCACTTTTAGAGAGAGTGGAAGGGAGAGGGAGAGACACAGAGAGAGAAACATCGATGTGAAAGAGACATATTGATCAGTTGCCTCCTGCATGCACCCCAACTGGGGCCAGGGATCGAACCTGCAACCCAGGTATGTGCCCTCAACCCAGAATTGAACCCAAGACCCTTCGGTGCATGGGCCAATGCTCTAACCACTTAGCACACTGGCCAGCGCTGTGTGCCTACATTTATAGAAAAATAATCTCCCCAACAGAATCAGTTAGACCATACACTGAGACACTGAAAAATTATGGAGAAGGCCAAATGAGAGCTCATGCAGTGGTGAGGGAGGAAGAGTGAGCCACAGTGTATAATAATGGGAGACAAACACAACTTATTTTCTTCTTGAGAAAAAGCAGGCTCAAGATCTGTTTTAAAAAACTAATTTATGTATTTAAACTCTGCTTATTCCAAAAATGGAAAAGAGGCAGAGTGAGGCATGTTAACTATCTTCAAATATTTAGAAGACTAGTATGTGGAAGAAGAATTAATGATTGGGGCACAAGTTTTTGGCTGGATGAGTTATGGCACAGTGGTAAGAGCAAAGATTTTGGAGCTGACATCTGAATTTAAATCTTGGCCCTACTCCTTATTAGTTATGCATCTCTGGGCATGTTATTTGGCCTCCCGAGGTCTGCATTTTCCTCACCTATAAAATGAGGATAATAACACTTACCTCATGTGGTCTAGTGAGGATGAAAAGAGATCATGTGAGCATAGCACTTAGCTAAGTGTCTGTATCACATGGTAAGATATTTCCCCCAACATTTTCGAAGTACCAAGATGAAAAGTGTTCCTTTGGAACAGGAATGTGGAGTGTGAACCTGTTGTCAAGGTTAAGTGGTTCAAATTTAGGCTCTACAGTTCTTGGAGATGTAAAGGGAATTAAACATTGGGAGGGTGTTTTAAACAGATGACCTTTAGTGTATTTGTCATCCCTGAAGCTTTATGATTCTAATAAATGTGTGCCATTAAATGAGGAAACAGGGTTGAAGTAGTATGAGACTAGTATATTCTTCCTAAGGGAACATATGTATATATTTGTTGCTGGCGACTTCTCAATGTCCTTATATTAAGGTTCCACTTGCTGTGGCCTCTCTTAAATGAACAAGCAAGAGCACAACAATTACCACGTAAAATAGTGAAGCTAACAATTAAGGTCTGCACTAAGCCCCGGAGGAGAGAAAATCTCCCATTTCTGAATCATGTCTCTTTTAAATTCTGTGTTGCCTTGGTGTATTATTTTTGTTGAATATGCCTTGGGAATTTAGAAGGTTTGCTTTGTTTGTTTGTTTGTTTTTTGCTTCTTTTTTAAATGCTCCAGACACCACTGAATTTGTTCACAGGAAAAAAATGAGTAAATTCAAAGGTCATACAGGACCAAAAGATAGCAGGACCAACATATACTACGCAGCTCAATCAAATGACGTATCATTGTGGTATTTTCAGGACAAATTACTTCCTGTTAGTTTTCATAAAACCAAACGCCAAGATGGCTAATTCTTTCACATTTGTTTGATTTGGGGAATCTGAGGGTTCTTTTCGGGGGTGCATTGCTGGTGTTGCTTCATTATCCATGCAGGTATATATAAGGCATGTTTTGGGCTACCTGTCTAGGTCTCAACTGTATCTCACTGTACTCCTATTAGTGCATATTATTTCACTGAAATGACCAATCATATATATTTTAAAAAAAGAGATTATTGACCAGGATTAAGGCTAATAAGAAATTGCTAATATGTACTATCCATGGGTGATAAGAAAGACTGTGAAGAAGCACAATGAGAAAGAATTGGCTTGGAAGCAAACAAATCATCTATTCAAAGAGTACTTCTGAAAGTAGACATGGGCATCCATTTACACTTTTAGAAAATGCTTTCATTCAGAGCAGAAAAGCTCACTGTATATTATGAGAAAAAACCATTGTCATATTTACCATTTCCTTTCAGGAACAGCTCTAAAAACGCAGCCCAGGTTTCCATGCCAGGGAGATTAGGGTTATCTCTGTAGTAATGGAATAGAGAAACAGCTGTGTCTTTTGGATTCCTAACGATGTAGATAATCTGTTAAAAAATATAAATTTATTTTTGGGTGAAAATAGCCCCACCACAAAACATTTCCTAAAAGAAAGTAAGAGCCGGTACTGGAAGTATCAGGGGGAACGCTTTGTAAAGTATATGATTGTCTAACTACTATGCTGTGCATCTGAAACGAAAACAAAATAATATTAAAAGCAAACTGTATTTGAAAAAATGTTTAAATAAAAATATATAGAGAAAGTAGAAGCTAAACTTACCCATGACAGGCACGATTTTTTGGCAGCCTCAACTAATTATTAAACACAGACTCAAGCCAGTGTTTCTTGACCCTTAACGTGCATATGAACCAGCAGGGGATGCTGCCAGCTCATCAACCAGGTGAAGGTTGTCCGGCTGGTCCCTGAGGGCTAGGCCATCAGCGAGAGGCAGCTCGTGCTCCTGGGAGACCAGGGGCAACCAGAGTCTCAGTCCCCAGTAGGGGTAAAAGAAAAGGGTTGTACCTAAAGGCTGTACCTTTAGTGTGGTTGTTTAAAGAAGCACCCTACCCTTTTTGAGCTTCAGTTTCTTCGCTTATGAAAAGTAAGATACCCACTCCTCTCACCTTTGTAATGTGTTTACAAAACACAGCTCAATCTCTAGTAGGCATTTGGTGTCAGTGTTATTGCATTGCCCTGAGTAAGGGTTATTGAGCTGACCAGACTCTTTTTTAAAAATATATATATATTTTATTGATCTTTTACAGGGAGGAAGGGAGAGGGATAGTTAGAAACATCGATCAGCTGCCTCCTGCACACCCCCTACTGGGGATGTGCCCACAACCAAGGTACATGCCCGTGCCCGGAATTGAACCCGGGACCCTTCAGTCTGTAGGCCAACGCTTTATCCGCTGAGCCAAACCAGTTAGGGCTCGCCAGACTCTTTATCCCCTCAGATCTCTCTCTCTCTGTCTGTCTGTCTTGGAGACGGTCTGAAATGAAAATGTTCGGGTGAGTGAAAGTGTAATCAAGTTAGGTACACCTTCGCCTGTTCTGATAGATTTGCTGGGGATACAGACAAAACTATCACATTTACTTTTCTTTGGGCAGAAGAATAGATGGCGTGCACAATCACATTGTGGTCATAGAGCTATAATCATAGGAAGAGCTGCTTTGGTTTGTGCTCATTTGACTGCTAGGTAATTTTTGTTATTTTTGGAATATGGCTGACATTGTCTAAAGAGGCTTCAGTACTGGGACCTTGTTACAATAAACACATATATCTTGCCTTTGCTTTTCAAATTTATTTTTCTGATCAAAACAGAATTTTTAAAATGCTCCTTATGTAGACATTATGTAGAAAATAAAATCCAACTCTAATGTCATATCATAGAAAACCACTTGGCATGTTGTTATGTTTACATCTAGATCTTTTTTTATGTGTATATGTATATTTTAATTAAATTGAGATTATTCAGTATACATGTATTTAAAACATGCTTTATACTTAATCTTATTCCATAAGCATTTCTCCATGGAAACATAAATTTGAATATGAAATATATGAAAATATAAATATTCTTTTAAATTATAGTTAACTTTTAAAATAATAACAATGTGGTAACTTTATTTTTAAAATAACTTGAGGTAACTATTCTTTTATTTAAAAATTGTTTTATTGCTTAAAGTATTATAGAGTATTATATATGTCTCCTTTTTTTTTCTCCCTTTGACCTTCCCCTAGCCTCCTATACCCCCCAGTGTCTTGTGTCCATTGGTTATGCTTATATGCATGCATACAACTAATTTTTATATAAAATTTTTTTATTCCCTTCCTATAATAATCCCTTGCACAAATGGTAAAGTAATTAAAATAACATTAAGGCAATTTTTCTTTTCCTAGACATCACTATTTAAAGCAAAAACATTAAAACCAAATTCAGAATGGAATAAGACACTGTCTAGTGTAACTATAGTTCACATTTCTTTCATTACCGACAGATTATTAAAATAATTTGTATAAACTAGACTGTGGTCAGACCTATACATGCATTGTCTTGTTTAATTTTTCCCACACTGTATGAGATTGATACATTATTCCCGTATCAAATGAGGAAACTAAAGCTCAGAGAGCATCAGCCATTTCCCAAGGTCACACATCTTGAAAGTGGCAGAGCAAGAATCCAAGCTCAGTTTTGTGGTATTCCCAACCTTCTGCCCTTCACCATTGAACTTACCTTGCATTGCTTTTGTTTAATATCCACTGGTAGCATGTTATAGCTCAAATGTGTTGGAATGACTCTTCGCTTACAACACATTTTTAGCTCTTCAAATTTAGAAACGACTCCCAATTCAATTGGAGATGTTAGACTAATTTCAGCATTGGGAATATTCTCAATGACTTTTGCAATCCAGTGAGTGCCTTCACATAAAAATAAAATAAAATTCATTTTTAATTAAATGGCCCTCTTGGTGAAATGAATTTAGAAAATTAGCATTAGGTTATAAAGGCAATGAATGCATTAATTTTATTATAATAGTTAGTTTTACCTCTTGACACCCATTGAAACCTGTTGAAATACTTAAGATGTTAATTCCTTAGATAGGAAAAATCACATTTTGAAATATGAAGCAATATGAGAACTGTGTGTACTATTTCCTCAGCTTGAAATACTCTTCTATGCTACCACTCACCTCTAATACCGTCTCTGATTCCCAAATACAAAGATCTTTCTACACATAATTCCCATTAGTCCTGTAAGCACATGCATCTTGCTCTTTTATAAACTGTCTTTTGAGTCCCCACTCCCTTGGAATAATTGCTCACCCTTCAAGTCCCTCCAAAGGAACAGACCCCATTGCTTGTATTTATGTCTATCTTCCCACTTCCTCCTTGAAGATAGACAGTGGATCTTATTTTTGTTTGTGTATAAATACAAAATAATTGTGCAAACAAAGCATTAGAACAATGAACAAATGGCATATTCAAAAACCATAGAGATGCAAGCCTGCTACCTCAAAGTCTGGAAGGAATACCACTTTATCATATATAATAAAGAGCTAATATGCTAATTAGACCGGATGGCAGAACAACCTTCTGGAAAAACCAGTGGGCAGGGCCAAAGGGCAGCCGAGGCCACAAGGGTCGAGCCCCTTGCACGAATTTCAAGCATCGGGCCTGTAGTGTTTACATAAAGCAAATGTAGATGTGTTCCAATGGTGTAGACCAAACATGTCAAACTCAGGGCCGGCTGCGAGTTTGACATGCTTGGGTAGACACTGTACATGGAAACAGGGAAGGAGAAGTTTGGGTGTGGAGGATTTTTGCTAATTTGAAAGCAATGTCCCTGAAGAATTTAAATCTGCCTTAGTTTCCATTTATCTCATTAAAGTTTTACAGACAAATAAATATTCATAGGTTAAATAGAACTTTCATTTGCATTATATATTTTAAATTTATTTTTTCAATATATTTTTATTGCTTTCAGAGAGGATGGAAGAGGGAGAGAGAAATAGAAACAACAGTGATGAGAGAGAATCATTGATTGGCTGCCTCCTGCATGCTCCCTCCCCCTCAGCTGGGGATCAAGCCCGCAACCTGGGCATGTGCCTTAACCGAGAATCAAACCGTGACCTCCTGGTACATAGGTTGACACTCAACCACTGAGCCACACTGGTAGGGGTATATGTTTTAAATATAAACATATAGCATTCATGTATGTGACTCATATAGTAGTGACAATTGTATTATTTTAACAAAATATATTGATTCCTTCTAATGAAGAAGAGAGACCACACAGTTTTGTGCTGCTGAAGGAGACCTCCTAGCAGCCGGTGGGAAGATGTCAATTTATGGGCACCAGTATGCACAGTGGAAGCCTTATATATGGTTGTTTATGTTAGTATAAATTAACCACCTGTTCCAAGAATCTTAAAAGTATCACTAATTACTTTCTAAACTAATATATTATTTTAAGACAAGATGTAATTATTCACAGAGCAACCTATTGTAAAAGGAGAATACTGAAGTATTTTGAAGGCAATCATTTAATTTCCATTTGCAGCAAGATTTTCCAATAAAAGATATATAAATATATGGTTTATATTTACTCTCAAAAACACCCCTGTGTGAGCTCTGCATTATCTGGAGGAAGGGCTTCTTGGGCCTGACTTATAGTCCAGTGAAGGATTTAGTAAACACACAGCTCAAAGGGAACTTGGCTCTTAGTTGCTAAATCCAGGAGAGCAGCTATGTGTTCAGCCACACACAGCCACTATTCTGGACATAACAACAGGCAGCTGGATATTATATATCCTAGTTACTTTTAAGAATAAAAAGTAATATATTATTAATTTAAATGATATGGCATAAACTTTAATAATAAAAAGTATTTATGGTTCTTATTAACCTAGAAAAATATTTATTTATAAATCAATTATTAACTATAAATGGGGCAAATACTATTTATCCCCATGCCTGGTACAAAGTACTAGAAAAAGATAATTTTATAATATTACAGATATCATGCTTATTATATATGTCAACATTTGTATGTCTTCATGAATAAAATAGAAACAAGAGTGTAGTAAAGCTCTAATTTCTCCAGTTGAATTTTTTCAAAGCACTTTTTTTTTTTGCCTCTCTACTGTCAAACTTTTTCATTAGACTATGGGTTTAGGACAATTTAATTTCCTGTGGAAAATTCTGAAAAACAAATGATTTGTAAAAATCATTATTATATTTATAATTATTATTGTATTCCTACATTTACAAAATACATTAAAATAAACTTTACCAGATTTTGGATAGGACACCAGAAATACATCATCTTCTCTTGCGTGGAAAGAATCCAGGGAATTCAGAAGTTCTTCTGAAGACAAAGTAGAAAAGAGGATCCCCTTGAATTTATGAAGAACTCCTGGCTGGTCCTGGGATGACATCTTTCATCAAATCAAGCAAAAATTACTTACTAAACACTCACTCTACACAAAGCACAGAGCAAGTATGGGCACTGATTTTTATCCTAGCTCAGTAGCAATGTAACATTAGAATTATTGAGCTGGTATTCCAATTGGAGAACCATGTGTATATATATACCTTTTGCAATTTTCACAAGTGTAATTTTTAAACCATAACCGAGCCAGAGTTTACTGTGAAAATAATGTTATCTGAACTTCACTGATAACGCATATGACCAAATATTTCCTGCACTTGTCACTCAGAATAATTTACGTACACAGTTTTCAAGCTATTAAAATGTAGTCATTAAAGGGACTAAAGTTAATTAAATCTCTTGGCCTAAATAAGGAAAGACTTTTAGTGGCTATAATGAATTATATCACTGTGGAAATGACTGGGAAAATTGAACTTCTTGTTAATATAAACACTAGAGGAAGTAGCTAATATTGCATTTCGGGAAGAGAGGAGGAATAGAATGAGGAAAAAATAAATTCTTCTAGGAACTGGCATACAAATCTGTGACTAACATAAACCTTACAGGAACAAAAGACAACATGACAATCAGGAAACCCAAGCCAAAGAAGAGACATACACAGCTATGACGCACACAGGAAGTTTTTGATGGATTAAATAACTTGTCTGAGTCATTCTTAGTTTTTGTCACTAATATAATCTTCTGGATTCAATAAGATATGTCAATAAAGTGCCCAGTTACTTCAGTGAACCACAGTTGAATCTTTTTTTGTTTGCTGTCTAACCATTAAAATAAATATATACCAACAAAGAAATGATCATCATTTTAACTGAGCACAAAAAAAGTAGAGGTCTACCATGTAAGTAATAACTGAATAAGAAAGACATACCTAACAGTGGCAGAAATGAAATTTAGAATGATTACATATTGTGGACAAAAAAAAGGTTTCATGGGAAGTCACCTCACAGGGTGATCTGATCATAAATCCCTAACTAGGCAAGTCATAGTGGGTAGTCATACCCCCAGACATATAATGTTTTAGTAAAAGATTTATCTTTGTCTTAAGCAAACCCTGTCCATTGTCTTTGTGCATCTATATGAACACACCTTTGAAATAAGTATAATCACCCCGAGAGCACATAATCTTAAGTATCCTGTTACTTCCTTCCACGTTTGTGTGAACATCCTTACTTTACCTCCTTAATGTTAAATGCACAAAAGAAACTGCTATTCTCAGAAACATTTATCTCAGCCTGCTGAGGTCTTCCTTCCAGGTGTATCCTTTGTTTGACTCAAATAAATATTTATAAAAGACTCTACAGGTTTGGACATTTCTTATGTTGACAGCATAGAAAATTCCAAAGAATCTAAAAATAATTAGAATGGCTCTAGCCAGTTCTAGCCTGTGGACTGAAGGGTCCTGAGTTCAATTCCGGTCAAGGGCTCATACTCTGTTGCAGGCTCCCGGCTCTAGTCGGAGGCATGCTGGAAGCAACCAATCAATGTGTCTCTCTCACATCGGTGTTTCTCTCTCTCTCCCTCTCCCTTCCACTCTCTCTAAAAATCAATGGAAGAAATCCTTAGGTGAGGATTATAAAAATAAAATAATTAGAATGAATGTGTAAATTGAGTATGGTTTCTGGATGATGAGGTCAACACATGAAAATAAATTGTATTTCTGTATTTTAGCAACGTTTAAGTCCAAATAAGTGAGTAGTTGTTTTTGTTTGTTTGTGTGTGTGATTGGTTTGGGTTTTGTTTTATTTGCTTATCTGTTTCTTGTTTTCCAACACAATGCTCTTAAAAAAAAGGTGTAGGTTTTCTGTGAATATTATTGGTGCTCCCTTCATGAGACAAAAGCCACACCCATAAATATCTTCATGAAAAGACATATTCTCCTTTGGAAGGAGCATCACGGAGCTTTGAGATGATGCCTTTGAGATTCTTAGAAGCTTTTCGTCTAGCAGATAAGGTCTGAGAGACATGCCCTTAGTATCCTTAGAAGCCTATTGTCTGCCTGGGAGGTCTATGAGGCCCAAACATATTATAATCTTCCTGAGATGTCAACAAAGGATCTTATGGCCACACTCTCGACTTCATCTTTACCCCAACATCATGTTTTGCTGGTAGTGCCATGGATGTGATCTTTGTTCTGAGGCCATTTCTTACTTTGAGCACCTGTTGCTAGCTAGAAAAACTGTCTTGGACCCTATTTCCACCAAATTTGAATACAAAACTCAACAGTTCCTTCTTCATCAAACTCTTTCTTCTCTTTTTGTTTATGGGCACTAGGAGAGGTCAGTTATCATTTTCAACATTCTGCCTGACAATCTCCTTAGCAAAGCCACATGGTTGTTTAGTGCTCTTCCCATTTTCCATACTTACTCAGGGTTGGTGTTGTTAATTGGTTTGCCATTCATAACTCACACCCTCTTTCATCTGGCCTCCAATAGTCACGTTCTCAATGACCATCAAGAGTTTGAAAAGCTCCCCCCTGGTCAGTGTGGCTCATTTGATTGGGCACCGGGGCACCATCCTGTGCACCAGAAGGTTTCCAGTTAGATTTCAGGTTAGGGGACATACCAAGATGGCAGGTTTAATCCCTGGTCAGGGTGAGTATGGGAGGCAGCCAGTCGATGTTTCTCTCTCACATCAATGTCTTTCTCTCACTCTCTCTCTCAAATCAATAAAAACATATTTTAAAAATGAGTATAAAAACAAAAGAGTTTGCAAAGTTTCCTCCTGGCCTATCAAGCTTCTGCTCAAGTCCAGTCTCAAAGTCATTCTTACCTGTGTCAACATAAAAATGTCCAAACCTGTATTTTATGAGCTTACTTGATGCAAACTGATGACATATGTTGAAGAGCAAGATCTCAAATGCTCTGGAGAATAACAGTTTTGCAGCTTCTTTTATGCATTTGAAATTAAAGAAGATAACATGGAGATAGGAAAAAGTATTACAGGATAGTTACGATTATATATTCTCTTGAGGGTTTTTTAGGGTGTGTCAAAGGTGTGTTCACCTAGTCCGTGGTCGGCAAACTGCGGCTTGCGAGCTACATGCGGCTCTTTGGCCCCTTGAGTGTGGCTCTTCCTAAGCCTTAGGAGTACCCTAATTAAATTAATAACAATGTACCTACCTATATAGTTTAAGTTTAAAAAATTTGGCTCTCAAAAGAAATTTCAATCGTTGTACTGTTGATATTTGGCTCTGTTGACTAGTGAGTTTGCCGACCACTGATCTAGACGAATCTCAACTGGGCTGCTGGGCACTTCAAGTCTCTGCCATGTATCTGTTCCATGCCAGTAGGCTACCTCAGGAGTGTCCTCATGGAGATGACAGAAACACAAGAAAGAGCAAGGCCTCTCATATTGTAGACTTAGAAGCACCATACTTGCACTTCTGCTTCATTCTATTACCCAAAGCCAGGCACATGGTCAAGTTCAGAGACAGAGGCAGAGGACACTTCAAAGTTAAATGCCCAAGGGGGTGGATGCAGAGAGGGTAAACGATCATTCAACCCATCAGCAAGACCTATCAATTCTACCTTAGAAATACTTTCCACACCTGTCCAATACTCCTTCTATCTTATTACTACCACCACTTCAGTTCACCATGATCTCTCTTACCTATCATCACCGGACTGCTCTGTCCAAATCTTTCTTGTCCATTCCTTCTCAGACCATTCTCAATGCAGCAACGAGAATAAACTTAAAAAGAAAACCTGCTCTGACCACTCATTTAATTAAGTCTGCCAAATGGTTTCCTATTGTTCTCAGGATAAAGGTGAAAATCCTGACTAAGGCCTGAATGGTTTTCAATTTTCAATTGAGGGGTTATTTTAAAGCAAATAGATGAACCTGGTGAAAGGGAGAAAGAGAGTGAAGATGGAGTGTGGGAAAGAGAGGCTTTGTAATGACTTCCATGTGAGGACAGCCTGGGACCCCTTTCTCCAACCTTATCTCCTTCCATCCTTTCTTTTACTTTATGGTTGGAACCCATCATAATTCCCCAACTTGTACACTATTTCAAGCCTCTGGGGTCTTATTTGAACTGATCTGGAAGAACTTCAATAATAAATTAGAGATTAGGATGAGATAATAAGTAGTCAATATACCCATAGCTCTCCCAATATTCTCTCTTGATGTTCTCACCATCTTTTAATCTAGATAAACATGTACACATGGTTATGCTAGGGTGAGGTGAGAGTAGTATACAGGTGTGACAACTCATCCGAGAGGTTTTTGAGCCCAAGTCTGAGATACAACCATTAAATTGGCTTTGCAGAGAAGAAATCTAAGAGGAAGAGGTCAGAGAAATGGGATGGAAAACATACACATGGTGCAACTTCTTCACTAAGTTAGGCAACTGCTCTCTGGAAAAGGACTATTAAGCCAAGACATTCTTCAAGACCGAGGCTGACCAGAGATGCCTTTTAGTCCACAGGGGCTTACCCTGTTACTCTTTCAGAGTTTGAGAAGGCTTATCAGGAGCTAGGCACACATAACCTTATTCCCTGTCTCTTCTCCCCAATTTTCTCAGGGGAATATTTCTGAATATTAGAGACATGGAAAAAAATGACATATTCTCCTTTTCTCTCCCCTCATGTGGGGATTTCACAATGTAACTGCAGGGGCCCTGTAGAATTCTTTCTCTCTCAGTGATCAGCAAGAGGCAAATGTGAGTGCTTTAACCTCAACAAGTGGTCTCAGTTGAATCTACCAGGGAAAAAAAAGGGTGTAAGAGTGAACTTTGCCCTATCACAATAATTTGGATCTTCACCCAAAACCAATACTTCCATCCTTGGAACACATCATAATTCCTGAACTTGTACACTATTTCAAGCCTCTTGGGTCTTACCTGGACTGCTCTGTGTCCAAGTAGAGTTGTTTTTCCTTCATTTTGGTACGGTTTGAAAACCCTCTGCCTTATGCCCTAAAAAAAAAAAAATGAGAGAGAGAGAGAGAGAGAGAGAGAGAGAGAGAGAGAGAGAGAGAGAGAGAGAGAGAGAGAGAGAGAGGAGGTTTGATTCCAGTCAAGGACAAGAGAGAAAGAGCAGGAGCAGGTTTTTGGAGGGAGAGGATGAGGGAGAGGATGAATTTGCTGAATTACAAACCACTCCTAAAATTAGTGTCTTAAGACAGTAATGTATGTTATCTCCTGGTTTAATAATGTCACTGGGCTCAGCTGTTCTCATTTGAAGTTCAGTTAAAGCACCTTTCAAAAAGCTTAGCTTGAACTGAGTAGGAAGCCAAGGAAATGGGAAGGCATTTTCATATATAGGACTGTGACGAAAGAATGTTTAGAATTTGGCATCAGGATGTGGGGTGTAAAGAAAAATATCCCAACATTATGTGCAGTATTGTTTATAAAAAATAACGAACTCAAGGAAAGAAGGTATTTTTTTCCCTGTAGGTTTTTTTTTTTTTTTTTTTAATGGTAACTTTAAGTGCCAGGATAAAACAGATTCCAGAACAGGAAATGTGAAAAAATAAGAATAGTAACCAGCAGGAAAAAAATCAGATAAGAAGGCAATATCAGGTAAGGTTCATAGGTAATGCAAGCAATAAAGTCATAAAGAGTGCAGTGTCAACATAAGAAATGTCTAAACCTGTAGAGAATTTTCCTAAGAGTTTATTTGAGCCCAAACTGACGTCAATTATTGGGAAGCAAGATTTCAAATGCTTCCGGGACTACAATTTGCAATTTTTTCTTTGACTCATGTACTTGGAATTAGGAGGGAATTTTAAAAAGATTACATGAAAGTGAGAGAAAGCAAGGCAGGGATGGGGGTTGGATTACAGAATACTTAACAAGATGACCTGCTCTCCTGAGGGTGGTTATGCCTTGCAGGGGGGTTACTGCTGGCATTTCAAAGGCGTTGTAACTCAGATGCACCAGAACAAGGGACAGGGCTTGCTTAAAATTTTCCCTAAAAAGTTATATGCCTGGTGCATGGCTACCCGACACCCTGTTAGAAATGTATGTATGAGGTTACTTTCAGTAGAACGCCCCCCCTTTTTTGGTCCACAGTAGATATAAGTGAATATGTAGCAATGTTGTGATACTAATATTTTTATAAATTTATTTTTCTTTTAGAACACTTTCTTATGAAGGAACAGTGGCTCCAAGGAACAGAACCAGAAAATACTCTTTTAACATACTTTATTGAACACTTACCATGGGCCAAACATTCTTCTGACTACAGGAAATTAGACTCTGAATAAGACAGAAAGGGACATGATTTCATAGTTCAGGGAGACAGATAATTTTTAAAAAATCAACAAGAAAATATCTAGTAATGATACATAAAATAGCAAAAGCAAAACCATGGTGATACAAAATAGAACCACAGGGAGGCTACTTTAGTTTGAATGATCAGGGAAGGTTTCATTGGTCCTCACTGAGAGTAAAAGCATGTATTATAGAAGCAAGTGAAAAGAATATCGCCTCAGGCCAAAATGTACAGATATTGAGGAATTTGCAAAGAGAGCTCTGATACTGTTATTGTTCTCACCAGGAGAGCAAATTCTCAGCTGAACACAGATATATATAGCCATGATTAAAATGCAGTGCTAGTGAGTGAAAATTTGTTTTTTAATTTGTTTACCTCATTGTTTTATTTTTCTCTCATGGAGTGTTTGCTTGCCTTTGCTATATGTTGAGGGAGGTTTTTGGCAAAGATGAAATAATGGAGAGCTGGCTTACTTTCCAATTTGAAACAACTAAAAAACAAAACAAACCAATAAAAAATTAGGGTGTCTCCCCAAAATATAGTATACACACACTTTAAATTATTATAAAGGCAGTGTTTATTAAAATACATTTCATTTTCAAAATTGAGCTATCAGCTGTTAAAGTGTTTATGTATTTTTTGGGACACCCTGTGTATATGAAGACATAAGGAGCAATGATATTCAAGACATTGGACATTGGGCAAGGATAGTTTATCCTAATGATACTACCACATATTTCTTACTAAATGACTAAATCTAAACAGCTAAAATTAAAGAGTGTCCATGCCCAGTTTTAGTGAGAATGTAAAGGAATTAGAACTCTCATAACCACAAGAAGGACAGTAAAAAAGTAATAATGTTAAGTATATCTTAAATGTTAAACATATCCCTGCTCCATGATCCAGCCATCCTACTCTTTGGTGTGAGAAATGAAAACAAACATTCACACAAAGGCTGGTACATGAAAGCCCAGAGCAGGTTGATTTGTGATAGAAAAAACTGGAGAGAAAAAAAGTCCACCATCAGGTAAATAGATAAATAGCTTATGTCATATTTATCTGATAGAATAATGTTCACGAAAAAAAGAAGGAATGAACAATTGATACATTCAACTACATGGATGAATCTCAAAATAGTTTAGCTGATTAAAAAAAAATCCAGAAAACAAAGAGTACATCTTGTGTGATTTTATTTATAGAAAGTTCTAAAAAGTGTAAACTTGTCTGTAATGTCAGAGGAGTGGTTTCCTAGGGCTGGGAAGGAGGCCCGAGAAGCAGGAAGGAGAAATATAAAGTGGCACAAGGAATCTCTTGGGTGTGATGATATGCTCACTATGTTGACAGTGATGATTTCACAGGTGTGTACATATGATGACTATCTACTTCAAATCCAGGCAGTTTATTACATTCCAATTACACCGCAATGAAGCTGTTAAAATTATTGAGGAAAGTATTTCAATTCCAGAACCTGACCATTAGGGATCCAGGTAACACTCTTTGCTATTTAATGTGTGTGTGTGTTCAATATAAGGTGGGTCTTGAATATTGTTACTGAAATTATCTAATGAATTACTTATCTTTATAAGTTGTTAGACGTCTTTTTAGTTATAAAATTTTTTAGTAGTCTTCATAATGCAAAACTATTGGAAATACCATGTAATTATCTTGGCGTCTTTCTTGCAAAAGTTTTTTATTTTTATGTTTGTCCTCTCAGTGGCTAAATATGTACTATTTTCTCCACCCTCCGTGCCTGCCACTTCCATCTTCTGCCTCATGCCCTTCAGTGTGCCATTTCTACCAACCAAAAAAAATGTACCATGTCAAAAGGCAGACTCAACCAAAACATCACAGACTTTAAATATCAGGGCTTTATTTCCTCATTTTGCTCTTGATTCAGAGATATACTTTAGGCAAATGAGATTCAGTTTTGGAAACTATTTTATACCCGGACTGTAGGCGTTTCTCTTTGGTACTGAAAATTAATTGCCTTTCTTCCTTTGAATCTCACACACATATTGATTCATAGCTACAAAAAAGCTCAGCGAGGAATATGAAGTAGTGCGGGGACTGAGTTGGGAGAGAGTATTAGATGTTTCAATCAAGCAGATCCTGCTTTATTGCATCGCTCAGTTTGGACACCATGCTCACACCCACTGTGAAAGATTGCTAAAAGCAGCACTAACACCTAATGAAGTCAGTGCTAACTGCAGAATCAACGCTGTCAAGTTTCCTTGTTTTCTCATGAGCTTTGGAAAAGACACATGGCAGAGGAAAAAGTTCAGATGGTACGGGAAGTTTTTGCTAACATGGAGAGGAAAATCCTTTGGAAGATACAGAGTCCTTGTCACATAAGGTTTATGAAAAGTTATTTGCTACTAAGGTTAAAACTTATAAAAATGAGATTCCTGTAGATACTACAATTCTGAATTTTTATTCTCTTTTTAAATTCTGCCATTTTTGAAGGCTTAGTAGATTGGCATAGTGAGAACAATAAGAAAATTTAGAACGGAGAGTGTATTTTATTTAAAATTAGAGGAATTCAGTTTTATTTATAATCTATGTATATAAAGGCCATCTAGCTTGTGCATACAAATAGGACCATATTAAAACTAATACATCTGCCCAGCCAGCGTGGCTCAGTGGTTGAGCACCGACCTATGAACCAGGAGGTTACGGTTCGATTTCCAGTCAGGGAAGGCAGCGATCAGTGGTTCTCTTTCATCATTGATAATTGATGTTTCTATCTCTCTCTCCCTCTTCCTCCTTCTCTGAAATCAATAAAAATATATTTTTTTAAAAACCCCAAAACTAATACATCTATTTTTCTTTGTTTAGTCTACCCTATGGATACCACCGGTATCCTCTCTTTCTAGACACAAATATGTACATACCATATGATTCCATTTATATGAAGTGCTAGAGTACACAAACCTAGTCTATAGTGTTAGAAAGCATTTCAGTGGTTGCCTGGGCCAGGATTTGGAGGGATTTACAGAAAAGGGGAAGAAGAAACTTTTTAGAGTGATGTAAATAGTCTATGTCTTACCTGGCTTGTCAAAACTCATCACACTGTGCACTTAAAATGGATTCATGTTATTGCTTTTGAGTTCTACTTCAATAAGGTAATTAAAAAAACACAAATTAAGATGCAATTTTTCACCTATCACATTGGCAGCAAATTAAAAACCTTGACAACACACTCTGTTGGTGAGGCTAAGGTACTCATATTGCTTGGGGAATAAAAAGGTGGTTCTGTTTCTAAGGAGGGGAATCTTATGCCTCTTGATATAACGTTCTCATAATAAATATGTAGCATTCCTGCCAAAAATGCATTAACTGAATCTAATCATGTGGAGAGAGAAGATAAAGCCAAATTTAGAGACATTCAATTGACCTCAACTCTTTAAAAAATTTCAATGTATGGAGAAATTGTTCCAGAATGAAAGAAACTAAAGAGATGTGACAATTAAATGCAATATGTGATTCTAGATTGGAGATCAGGACAGGATAAAAAAAACAGCTATAAAGAATATGAATGGCACTTTGTAAATTTGTATAATTGCCTAACCACTATGCTGTACACCTGAAATTAATATAAAATAATTAATATAAAATAATAGAAAAATTAAAAATAACATTAATGGGGCAATTGATAGAATTTGAATATGAGCTTACATTAGATAATATTATATCAACATTAAATTTCTGAAATTATTTTTATACTATGGTTATGCAGGAAAATATCCTTGTTAGAAATATGCATTGAAGTACTTGGGAGTAAAGGATTATGGTGCTGCAACTTTCAAATAAATGTTTCATCAATAGTAAATTAGAGAGATGAAGCAAACATTGCAAAATATCAATTATGTTTGGCTCTGAGTAAAGATTATTTGGGAGTACAATTTTTATAACTTTTAAGTTCGGTGATTCTTTTAAACTAATCATTTTAAGTAAATAAATAAATAAATAAATAAATAAATAAATAAATAAGGAATCTTCAATTGCTGTTTCTCTATTAAGAAGGAAAGTCAAAATGAGAAAGCAGAGAAATTTTTTTGCCGTGGGATCCTGGAACTTTAGTAGAGTCCTTGGATGACTGAAATGTCCCCAAAACTGTAACTGTGGGTGGGCTAGGGGCTCAGAAAGACCAGCATATAAGCCTGGGCGGAAAGTGCGCAAAAAAATCTGTATTTGTGATGGTAAAGGGAAGAGGTCAGGATTTCTGTAGCCCTGTTTCTTTCCCTGCTCTGCCAATTTGCCTCTCTAATGCACAAGGCTATGAACATTCTATTGTTATTTTGGCATCATTGGAAAATGCACACACAGTAATTTTAGTGAGGGGTGTTGATGGCCACTGTGATTTCCTGGGCAGAAAAACGTGTCCCAGAATTTACCTTGGAACTGGGGTGGGCAACTTCTTTAGTCCAGAATGCCAGCGGCAAGACTAAGGCTACACGTAAGAGTCACTGCCAGATCATTATGGTCTGGAACACCCCAAGAAAAAGACACAGAAAGAAGGGAACTCTGTGAAGAAGGGGAAGAAGGGAGAGGGAAATGAGAGAAAAGCCAGCAGGGCTGTGGTGTGGAATAAGCATGTGCCCCGGCCACCCTCCAGGGCACTTGTAAGAGGCGTTTGCTTCTGCTCTTACCCTTCCCATAAACCCCAGTCATTAGGATCCCTGAAATATAGGGCCTGGCCATTTCCATTAGGGAGATGTTCGATTTTTCCCCCCAAGTCAAAGAAAATTTGCACTGATCTGGGAAAAGATTCACTACTCTGGCATTTTTAGAATTCTTTGTTCTAATTTCCCAACACTTGTTTTATGCCTCTCTCTATTTTCATTTTTATACATGCTTTATCTCCTGCACCAAATCATAAATCTTTTATAGGCTGAGTACAGATCATAGTAATTTTTACATTCCTCACAAAGGACAGTATAAGCTTACAAATTTATACTCAATAAATATTTGGTGAGAAATGACATTTAAAAAGAAAAAAGCAGGCGATCAATATTTTCACTTGACGTGTTGTGTTTTAGAGCCCCCTAGTGTGCAAAAACAGCGGTCTGCAAGAGCCCGGATAAACAAGAATTAACAGTTCTCTGAATCACTCCTTTCATTCCAGATTCTTTTCTTTTCTCACCTCCCAGATTTCTTCTTCAGAGGGGAAAGATCAGTTTTAGAATCTTAGAACTCATTACCTCTCCACGACGGCCCACTGACTTGTGTGTAAGCCTCCTTCCAAAAGCCTTTCCTTTCACCCCAGTGATGGACGATAAAGTGTGTCATTGACTGTAAGACACACCTTTTCACATTTTAACATTCCTGAAGTCAAACTGCATCTTTAATATATATATAAAATATACATATTATATATTAATTTTATTATTAATTATATAATACTAGAGGCCCGGTGCACAAAAATTTGTGCACTCGGGGAGGGGGGGGGGGGTCCCTCAGCCCGGCCTGTGCTTTCTCGCAGTCTGGGAC